GCGTGTTCGACTTCCTCATCCAACGGGTTCGACGTCCAACGGGTTGGTTGATGGGTTCATCCAACGGGTTCGGGTCCAATGGGTTAATGCGCTCCTGGGACGGGTTCGACGTCCAACCTGTTAATGCGCTCCTGGGACGGGTTTGACGTCCAACGGGTTTGGGTCCAGCGTGTTCAACTCCCAACGGGTTAATGCGCTCCTGGGACGGGTTTGACGTCCAACGGGTTTGACGTCCAACGGGTTTGACGTCCAACGGGTTTGACGTCCAACGGGTTTGGTCCAGCGTGTTCAACTCCCAACGGGTTTGACGTCCAACGGGTTGGGTCCAGCGTGTTCGACTTCCTCATCCAACGTGTTCGACGTCCAACGGGTTGATGGGTTCATCCAACGGGTTCGGGTCCAATGGGTTAATGCGCTCCTTGGACGGGTTCGACATCCAACGGGTTTGACGTCCAACGGGTTGGGTCCAGCCTGTTCGACTTCCTCATCCAACGGGTTCAACATCCAACGGGTTTGGGTCCAGCCTGTTCGACTTCCTCATCCAACGGGTTCGACATCCAACGGGTTTGGGTCCAGCCTGTTCGACTTCCTCATCCAACGGGTTTGACGTCCACCGGGTTGATGGGTTCATCCAACGGGCTCGGGTCCAATGGGTTAATGGGCTCCTTGGACGGGTTCGACATCCAACGGGTTTGGGTCCAGCGTGTTCGACTTCCAACGGGTTAATGCGCTCATCCAACGGCTTCGACGTCCAACGGGTTTGACGTCCAACGGGTTTGACGTCCAACGGGTTTGACGTCCAACGGCTTCGACGTCCAACGGCTTGGGTCCAGCGTGTTCGACTAATGTTTGTTTTTCTGTGTTTAAAATCACTCCAGAATGAACCCTTTCAGTTTTTTTATATATTTTGCTATTTTTATTTACTTTGTTGATCTCATTCTGTACCTGCATATGGTTTTGTGATGACTCCAACCCTGACTGAGACATGGAGTCCAGCTGTGTTGGGTCTGTCAGTGCTTGTACATGGTCCGTATAGTTCCTCCAACATACTAACATTCAGATTGCCGCCAACACATGTAGCCCTTGTGGATGAGCAGCTCATGTATTGGTTTGTTCAATTCTGTGGATAATATCAACTGGCTGAGATCATGCGCGATATGATCCCACTGTTGAATTATCTGCTTGATACTCTGTGTGGCTGTATACTTTAACTGATGAGTTGAACCCTTCAAATGCCGTTCAATTTCTGTTGGCCATACTGCATACTTGCATTGACGCCATATGATGATGGGGTATGATTCACACTGAATGAATAATTGATGTTCCATGTTAATGAAGTCAGTGTATTCTTGAGTTGATATATATATATATATATATTCTTTGAAAATGAAGTATAAATAAACTTCACTCGACAATGTTAATTTGCTCTAAATTTAAGTTTTGTAATGCTTCTAAACAATTGCAGATGAATACTTAAATGTATGATGTTAATTTCTGTCTGATTGTTATTTTGCTGATCTGTGACCGTTTTGATGATGGTAGTTGCCCTGGGGGGAAATATATATATTTAATATTGATAACTCTGCAAAACAACTTATCTACCTTAATGTTGTAATAATATGATTTTCTGATGAAATTATGTCTTGAAATTAAATATCATACTCTGTATATATAATATAACTGGCTCCTGAAGTTTAAGGTCTGGTTGTGATGAGTTGTCTATGAAAATATAATATTATACATTTTATAACGGAGGTGAAAGGCTGATTTGTATTGAAATTTATAAAGATGACAGCTAGCTGCTGAAGTTGGAAATCTGGTCATAATGAATTGCATGAGAAAAATATATATCTTTTATCATTTATAGCTCTATGTTGTCATCTATTTCTACTGTTACATATGATGGCTGCTGTTTTTGAGCTTTTCTGCTAACGCTCTTTTCCATGTTCCGTGCCCGCTTTCGCACCCCTGGGCCTGGGTTAACCCCAGGAATTCATGCCACTCCCGGCTGACAGCCTGGTACCGCACACGCCGTGCCTCAATGTGGCCTGGTGCCTCCTGCAGCCCCCGCGCATATACTGTACTGCAGCCAGATCATGCTGCTGCTGTCTACTGCGCATCATCTGCCCCATATTCCCGCTTGAACCCTCCACAGGACAGGTGCATACGCGAGATGGCAATGGCGGCATGCCGCCAAGTGATTACATTGAGCTTGGTCTGGAGGTGTGTCTTTGCCTCGCGCTGAAGCACCACCCGCAGCCGGCTGCTGTCCCACGGTCCATGCCCCCGCGGCCAGAGAAATGGTGACCGCAGCCCCCCTTGGCTATCACTGTCTACCATATGCAAGCCGCTGGACCGCCCGCGCGAAAGGTAGAATCAGCCACGCACGCCCGCTCACGTACACCACCACGCTCCTCTCTACTCCGCTCACGTCGCTGCAGATAGCGGTGG